CATAGTAGAAAGTAAAGTTTGAAGCCAAACTATGACCCCCCATGGCTGTCCCCATTGTAGAAGACTGGAATGCATTAAATTGATATCCTGCTTGACTGAGGGACTGTTAACTTTGACACTACAAGTTAAAAAGATGCTCATTCAAGGGGCCTCTGGCTGACAGCCTTGGCACCAAAGCCTCAATCAGCAACCCTATAATCAGTATCATTGATCCTCCACTGCCTGTCTTTTTCTTCTCTTTTGCTAAATCCTGCTCACTGTTGGACTTGAGAAATTTTCGCAATGTATATTCTCATAGTAGCAAGGAGAGTCTGGGTGAATGAGATTTCATACCTGATCCTGAAACTCAACTTTCTGTTACCTTATTTCAGGTGATTATTCCAAATCTTGACAAAAGCAATAATACAAGAGCTGAAAATTTCAGTATTGAATGCAACATCATGTGCACTTGCAAGTTTGGCCTTGATTGCATCATTTTCAGTTTTCAGCTTTTGATTAGTGCTTACTTATTGCCATAAATATCCCTGATATGCTGTGTCAGCTCTAACCAGAAAAGGCACAACTCCTATCCACATGAGCACGCCTAAAAATAGATAAGCAAATAGACACACAGCAGGGCAGGTAAGTGAGATGCAGTTATGCATCAGTAGGCATCTCTCTAATTAATATGTAAGACTTCCCTAAAAAACATTTTGAGAATCATGTAATCTCAAAATGGCATCTCAGTCTCCCTCATCTTTCACTTTAGGGGGAAATGATGGTCTCCCAAGTCACTGTATGCATTTTAATATATTAAAAAGAAATATTTATGAAAGTTCACACACTCACTCACTATATTTCAAATATTATGATTTATATATTTATTGTGTCAGAAGTGAATTGAGAATACAGTTATAATGTATAGAAAAAACACAAACAAAGTTAAAAACTTGGCATTATACCAAATCTCCTTTGACCAGAAGCTGGCCACTTCGAATGCCCCTGGTGTCTCTGTAAGAAGATCCTCCATTGTGCATTTAGCAGGGCTCAGACTGCATTGTAGTAAGTGGTCTGTGGTTTGTTCTTCTACACACCTGCATGTCATGGACTCCACTTTGTAGCCCCATTTCTTAAGGTTAGCTATACATCTCGTGGTGCCAGAGCACAGTCTATTCAGTGCCTTCCAAGTCACTCAGTCTTCTGTGTGCCCTGGGGGCCATTTCTCATCCGGCCTCAGCCACTGAGGTTCCGGGTTTTAACCTGCCACTTTTGGACTCTCAAAAATTCCTGCGGGTATCTCTGTAGAACTTAGGGAATTATTTCTTGATTGAAAACTTTGGCTTGCTGGCTGATATTCCAACAGAAGATTCGCTGGAGATGTCTTGGTCCTTTCATTACAGGCTGCTACTTCCCGACAGATGTCAGGTGGTGCAATACCAACTAAACAGTATAATTTCTCCAGTGTGCAGGGCATAGACATTCTGTGATAATGTGGCATGTCTCATTAAGAGCCACTGGTTTAATGTAGTGAGATGTATTCCACACTGGGCATGCGTATTCAGCAGGAGAGTAGCAAAGCACAAGGGCAGATGTCTTCACTGTGCTGGTTGTGATCCCCAGGTTGTGCCAGCTTTCATATGACATTATTTCTAGCACCCACTTTTTGCTTGATATTCAAGCAGTGCTTCTTGTAAGTCAGAGCATTGTCCAGGGTAACTCCTAGGCAGGGCTGTAGCCAGTGGGGGAGGGGTTAAGGGTTCTAACCCCCCCCCCCCCGAAACCTCGTTTACTCATGAATTTTAACTGATTAACCAAATTATGAGTAAGCCAGGTTTCTTTTTTAACCTAACACATTTCAGGGCAGGGTTAAACTTTTAACCCTCCTCCCCCTGGCTACAGCCCTGCTCCTAGGTATTTTCGTATGATGCAATGCTCCAGTGGAATTCCTTCCCAGCTAATCTTCAGAGCTCGAGATACTTGATTTTCTTAAGCTATTGTGATGATAAAACATTTAACTTTTCATCTAACAAATGTAACAACCTGTTGCCCCAATTTGCATCATGTTTCTGTGCATTATTTGCCTCTCTCTTCCTTATTATAAGATGTCTAGGCACCCTGATTTTGTGCCTCATAGGCAAAGCAGGCAGGGTGAAGATGACTAATGGCAGCTCATGTATCTTTTAAATTTACTGCTTTTTTAAAGCAAACTGTAAACTGGTTTGCCCCTGATGGTCACCAAAGTAATGCATTTGTATAGCATTGTTCTACTATGTCATAACTGAATTGCCAAGCGGATTATCTTCCAAGAAATGGAACATATTCAATCTCTAGCCCCTCCATATACCGCATTTCAGATAGCATGTTTTGAAACCTGTCTTCCTCTTATTTTCCCATTTTTTCTTTAGTTTCTTCCCCAGTTCTATTACAGGCATTTCATGTCTTGTTCATTGTAAAATGTAGTACAGTAGTACAATTGTTTCCCCTCTCTCCTCCCTCCCTCCCATCTTTTGTAATGGTTTTCTTTGTTCTGGATAGGACACATTACTATTTTATATATTTATAACAGGTACCTTCCAAGATGACAGCGGTAGGTTGAACCCCCTGGTTAAATGTTGTTTGTAGATATTTCTAATATAGAATTATTTATGTTTCAAACTTATTTGAAGCACTCGATCTAAAGTTACAAGACTTTCTCTTTTTAAATAAAGTTCAGAAATGGTTCCCATTCCTTTTTGTAGTCTCTCCTGAACATCTCGGGGTCCAGACTAATTCATACAATGGGATGTAGTCAGTCAAATAGCCTGGACCTGAACCATCTAGGGATTTAAAGGTCATTAGCAGCACTTGGAATTGTGCCCAGAAACAGACTGGCACCCAATGGAGCTGCTGCAACAGGAGGGTTGTCCGCTCCTTGTAGCCAGATCCAGTTAGCAAGCTAGCTGCAGCTCTTTGGACCAGCTGAAGTTTCCAAGAACTCTTCAGAGGCAGCCCCATGTAGAGCATATTACATTAAATCTGGATAGGTTGCAATTAAGGCGTGTACCACAGTAGCCAGACCTGACTTCTCAAGGAATGGGCACAGTTGGCCCACAAGTTCTAAATGTCCAAAGGCTTTCATAGGCTTTTGAAGCTTGGGCCTCCAAGTTACTTGGGCCTTCAGATTTAGTGCCAAGTCCAGGAGGACCCCCAGGAGGAAACTGTGGAGCTGTGTCTCCAGGGAAAGGTTAATCCCCTATTCCCTGCTCTACCTTCCAACTGACCAAGATTACCTCTGTCTTGTCTGGAATAAGTTTCATTTTGTTTGCCCTCATCCAGTCCATTACTGATGACAGTCACTTGTTTAGGGTCAGGACAGCCTCCTTGGCATTAGGTGGAAAGGAGTAGTAGAACTGAGTGTCATCTGCATATAGATGGCACCGTACTCCAAAACTCCAGATGACCTATTCCAGTGGTTTCATATATAAGCTAAACAGCATGTGGGACAAAATGGAACCTTGAGGAACCCTACAGGTCAATGGCTAGAATTCGAATAGGAGTCTCCCTGCTCCACCTTCTGGGTATAGCCCTCTAGAAAGTACCAGAGACACTGTAAAACAGTTCTTCCCAGTCCCATCCCAGCAAGACAATCCAAAAGGATTCCATAGTCAGTGGTATTGAAAGCCGTTGAGAGATCCAGGAGAACCAACAGGGACACTCTTCCACTATCTAATTCTCTGCATAGGTCATCCACCAAGGTGACCAAAGTTGTCCCTGTTCTATAGTCATGTCTGAAACCAGATTGAAATGGATCTAGCTAATCTGTTTCATCCAAAAATCCCTGGACTTGGGATGCCACCACATACTCCAAAACACAAAATTGTAATTCATGGAATATTAGAATATAAATTAGTCCAGAATATAGTCAGCAGAGGAGAAGAACCCTGTCAGCTCCCATAAAACTTTGTTTTAGAGTGGCTGGGGACTGGGGGGCACATTTTTCGGGGGCTTAAAAGGCCTGGCATTCCTGCCTGCTTGAGGTTGTTGTTGTTTTAGTTTTAAAATCACTCTTCTCCATTTCCATTCCAGTCCAACTAACTTTTCCCCTTCTTTTCCATTCTATAATTCTTGTCCAACTAATTTGGGATCCAGAAATTGTTATTTCTAACCTGCCAAACAACACAACCAAGTGATGGATTATTTTCAGTTCTCTAATTCCTCCCCTAACGTAGCAAGTCTTCCTGTTGTATTGAAGTTGACAGAAGGCAAGGCACACATCTAACAAATTCTACCAAATTTCAATCACCCAATTCACTAAAGCATATTTTTAACTTCAGTGTTAATTGTGGAATCTAGTGACTTGGGAGGGAATACAACAAATTAGCAATTTATCATGTTAATTATCCAGTTAATTCTATGCTTTGAAAGTAATGAATCCACATACCCCCCCCCCCCAAGGAGGAGGATTCCTGTTAAAAGAAAGCAACACATGAGCTAGCATCTTGTTCAATATTTACAGGAATATAAACTGGATTTATGATCTTTCAATTTATGGTATTCATATTTATACTTGTTAAAGACCAGTTGTGACACACACACACCAAACCCTCTTCATAAATTTGGAAGCATACCAACTGAAGAATTTTTCAAATCAGGTTGATGAGAGATGATAACTGCAGAGCTCATCTGACAATGGAGTATGTTGAAATAAGATGTGACAGAACCCAAGGAATTTGTCTAGCTGACCATCTCAATGCAGCCTGTGATTGGGTGGGCACTGCACTTGTCATTTACTAGCACCCAATCTTCAGTGCCTCAGAAATACTTTGCTTGAGACACTGCCTGGCTGAAGAAGTATGGTTTTTTTGAGAGTGATATCATCAGAAGTAACTATGAGGAAGCAGTTCCTCTGATCTGGTGGTAGTCTGCATGGTTTAGGCTTTCAGAATATTTTCTCATCAATGAAGGCATCAAATAACTATGGGATAGGACCCACTGATTAAGAACATGTTTCAGCAACCTATGTTCTCTCTATTCCCCTGTAGGGTCTCCATACAGAGACAAGATAACAATAGCAATTCTTCACTTGCAAGAGGAAGGCAAACTCCACATGATGAAGGAGAAATGGTGGAGAGGCAATGGCTGTCCAGAAGAAGAGAGCAAAGACGCCAGTGCGCTTGGAGTACAAAATATTGGTGGCATCTTCATTGTTTTGGCGGCAGGATTGGTACTTTCCGTCTTTGTGGCAGTGGGGGAGTTTTTGTACAAATCCAAAAAAAACGCCCAGTTGGAAAAGGTAAATATTGTCCTTTTTGCATTTACTTCTACAATTATGGTCTAGTTGTACCTTCTGAGCAACCAACTGAAAAGCCATTCTGATGCCTTTCAGAGATTTGCTTACACCATTAAAGTTGATAGTGAATGAGTATTGGAGTTTTCATCTGTACAACTTTTAATCTGTCTTCAATATTTTTAATTGTAGCCAGCTTTCAGGACAAGTGACTATTTCTCCTCTTATTCAAGCTTGAAAAAAGACACCTTTTTTCTCCTGGAAGTTCACTGCAGTTAATTTAATGGATGATGAAGAAAGCACAATCTGTTAATGAGAAACAAAATTAACCTTCTACAAATAGTTCTGGGTTTCTAAATGGTACAACTCTCTATTAATCCAAAGTCAGAAGTCTAGAAAACATCTTTCTTTATGCCCTTTCTGGAAGGTGTTTTTTCTTTAAATATGTGGCTGTAGTATCTGGAAAAGTATTAATCAATATACTTATGATTTACTACTTATTATGGTTTTATATCTTGGACACATTCCACTTTTAATGTGTAGAATGTTGAACTTAGTCTATACTGGATCAAACAAATGGATGTCTCCCTTTTTCAAACAGACATATAAGCATCCATATAAATGTTTTTTCATCATATTTATGTGCTATCTACTAAGCTGCATTCTGTTTCTTATTTATATGCCTTACTTTGTACATATATATATATTAATTTATTTTTAAAACTGGGAAAACTATGTCATGCATAACTGAGGAGCTTGTGACCAATCCAAGATCCACATGTATGTTGATATTTCTTTTACAGATGGTATGGTTAATATTGCACATTAATTTTAAGTGTTTGAGACTTCTGAATGTGTACTGATATAGAGTATCACTTATTCTGAACACTTTACTAGGAACATCATCCTGGCTATTTTATTGATGCTAGTAAATAAGCATAGGATCTCAACAACCTACTTCTACCTGACTTTTGTAATATATTGCTTGGGTAAATTTTGATACTACAAACTAAGGATGGATGAGGTCACAAGTTCCTTATCAGTTTTTTTGCATATGTGTATGTTTTCATGAAATTTGTGCTATAAGTGAAAATTCAATACCTCATTAATCATGTAGAATTAATTAATTCGGTTACGTTAATTTTGGAGCTTTTCTTATTTCAATTTCTTATTTTAGAAAATTGCTGCTCTTTTGAGATCAATGATGTATACATCACAATGGCTTTAACAATTTTTGAAGTATGTTAGTTATATTTGGCATCATATTTTGTATTAGTTGGTCTATAACTTTTAAAATCTTTATTTTGTTTATATATAAAGTTGGAATATTTTTGTCATGAGTTTTGTACTCCAAATGTAATAGCATTTTAAATGGTCAGGTGCATTTTATGTGACATGTGAACAATATGATTTTCTCCCTCACAAAGTGAACCCATAAGGGTATAAAAATGGAAGACTGGGCTTTTACAATGGGTCTTTCTTACAAATCATTTCACATATTGTACTTAAGCAGCTTCTTGAATTGTTCAAGAACTTATGATATGGAGCAGCTTGATCATTTTTTGTGTGGTACTAATAGGATCTTGATGTGTGGATTCTTCTGTTCGGAGATCAGTATTGAGAACATGTGATTGATTGATTGATTGATTGATTGAAAGAATGAGTGGTGATTGGCCATTCAGCCTCAACTTACTCTGGACTCAGGAGCATAACATAATATGCATTAGGGTAGATTGTTGTTCCCCAACATAATCCCCAGTCTTTCTGTCCTTTCCTCTCCATGCCTGTTTACATATTCAACGTAAACATCTGAATGGGTATTTTAACTACATTTAGCTAAATGTGATTGGAGGTAACCCTATTTTTTATGGATCCAAGTAGGGTATAGTCCCCAATAATGGGGATTGATGTTTGAGTCGAATGTATATCCTCCAGTTCCTTCATATCTCATAACAATATGGTATATCCATTTCTCCTTTGAAGTTCACTGTTTGAAGTTATGCTGAGAACTGCTTGGAATGTGACTTATGCATGAAGACTGGTTATCCTTGTATCGTGGTGACTTGAATGGTTATCACTTTGCTGTATAGATCAGCAGCCAGAACATAAATTTCTTATGCAAATATCTGGTGACAGTATGAAACAAACAATGTGATTAATATTTGTCCATCAAGCCAGCATACACAGTTTGTTTCCTTCACCACACAGAGTACCCTGTGGAGACAATTTCACAGTGCCCCAAATTAGCAGTGAAGCAGACCTAATCAAATAACTTCCACATTTGTTGATGTTAGAAACATAGGCCTTTCCCCCTATAGATCAAGTCTCAAATGTTCCCAGTTACCATCACTACTTTGGTAACTGTTCTGGTTCTCAGAATTTTGCCTCACAAAATTCTCAATTTTTTTGATGTGACTGTAGTAGCTATCACTGAAAGCATGCTGAATGTATTGATAATGATTTTCTTTGATAAATACAATTTCAATGGTTTTGATCTGTTCTGGTTAGAAATATTTTTCCTGTGAGGATAACATTATAACTTTAGAAATTTAGCAAATATAGTAAAAGTGTACCAAATAATAGTAGTTGCCCATGCTCTGATATATATAATATGTTTGGCTGCTGCTTTTTCTTATCAGTCAAGGAAAGGAAGATAAGAGGATCCTTGTACTAATTGGCCAAAGGATTCCTGGGCAAACAGACAGCAAGATCATTTGTAATACTTAGTGTACACAATATATCCAGAGTCATTCCACACTTTTCAATAAGCTTTTAGCATTGCATGGGTGAGATCATGTTGTTTGTCTAAATGTGCCTTATGTGTGTACATGTCTATTTTTTGGACTGTGTGGGGGGAGCCATGTTCTATCTCTTTTTGCTCCAGACATAATCTCTCTCCTTCAGCCACAGCTGTGAAGCCCTGAGAGAGTCTGCTTTTGCTTATCAATGTGGAGGAGGGAGGCAATTTAGATGATGAGGACTAAGCTCGACACCAAATTGGGAGTGATAGCCAATACTCCAGAGGACAGGAGCAGGATTCAAAACGATCTTGACAGATTAGAGAGATGGGCCAAAACTAACAAAATGAAGTTCAACAGTGACAAATGCAAGATACTCCACTTTGGCAGGAAAAACGAAATGCAAAGATACAGAATGGGGAATGCCTGGCTTGAGAGCAGTACGTGTGAAAAAGATCTTGGAGTCCTCGTGGACAACAAGTTAAACATGAGCCAACAATGTGATGTGGCGGCAAAAAAAGCCAATGGGATTTTGGCCTGCATCAATAGGAGCATAGTGTCTAGATCTAGGGAAGTCATGCTACCCCTCTATTCTGCTTAGTTAGACCACACCTGGAATATTGTGTCCAATTCTGTGCACCACAATTCAAGAGAGATATTGACAAGCTGGAATGTGTCCAGAGGAGGGCGACTAAAATGATCAAGGGTCTGGAGAACAAGCCCTATGAGGAGCAGCTTAAGGAGCTGGGCATGTTTAGCCTGAAGAAGAGAAGGCTGAGAGGAGATATGATAGCCATGTATAAATATGTGAGAGGAAGCCACAGCGAGGAGGGAGAAAGCTTGTTTTCTGCTTCCCTGGAGACTAGGATGCGGAACAATGGCTTCAAACTACAAGAGAGGAGATTCCATCTGAACATGAGGAAGAACTTCCTGACTGTGAGAGCCGTTCAGCAGTGGAACTCTCTGCCCGAGTGTGGTGGAGGCTCCTTCTTTGGAAGCTTTTAAACAGAGGCTGGATGGCCATCTGTCAGGGGTGATTTGAATGCAATATTCTGCTTCTTGGCAGGGGGTTGGATTGGATGGCCCATGAGGTCTCTTCCAACTCTTTGATTCTATGATTCTATGATTCTAAGCTGTTCTGGGCTCCTGGGGAAGAAAAGGAAAGTTGCACACCACCCATAAGACCACCCCACTTTCTATGCCTTCTCCAAGTTGAGGCCAGTTGCTTCATTATTATCTTAACTCCCCCCCCCCCCCCCGCTCCACTGGTAAGCAGCAGCAACATCCTCACTAGGAGTGCAGGGAGGATATGGCATGGCATGGCAATCTCAGCCTATATCAGTCAATGAAATTTGGCTGCTTTAGGTCTCTTTCCACTAGGCAAAAGACCCAATGCCTTTGTAAGTGGAATATGACAATGCAGCTCGCAAAATATTTTTTTATTCCTTCATCTTGCCCAGCTCCTGTTTACATGACAGTAGAGTCAAGTGTGATAATGATATACCATGACACAGTCAAAACAATGAGGGGAATGCCTATATTTCTAATCTGGCACTTTTAATGTTTGCAGACTTTGTCTTCTGAATGATTTCTTTATAATTCTCTGCTGCTGCTTATGTCATTAGCCTTTCATAGGAATTTACTGCTCTAGTACTACAAGCAAATGCATAAGTATGAAAGTCTATTTAACTTCTGCAATATTGCAAAAAATACAAAATGCAAAGTTATTTGTGAGTTAGAGAGTATATGATTTAGAGATATAACGAAACAAGTCTTCCTTTATCAGAGTGATCCTGCCCACCCAAGACAGTTTCTCAGTAGTTTGTTTGAAAAGTTTCAGTAGATCTTATTTTAGTAGGAGATGATTTTTAAAAAATACAGAGATCTGAAGTAATCAAATGTGAAGATCAAAACAAAATTTAGCATAGGCTTGATTTAATAACAGCTTGCCTTTTTTAGGGCTTAAGGCAGCCCATTCCTCACCATCCCTTTCCCCTTACCAGAATTGTTCAGAAGTATCCCTTACCTCCCTCTAACCCTCCTATCCAAAAGTGTGCAGTAAATGGACTAATGAAGTTAAAATGAATGAATGTATACTAAACCCCCTCCCCTCCCCGTATGTTTGAATGGACTCCCCCCCTTCATTCCCTCACTTACTGTCCCTCCCCCAAAACCCTTACTGACCCCTTTTTACATCTTTGTACTTAAAAGCTTAATAAAAATATTTTTTTAAAAAAGAAGTATAGTAGGGCATGGAGCCCCCGGTGG